TATATATATATGTGTGTGTGTGTGTGTGTGTGTGTGTGTGTGTGTGTGTGTGTGTGTGTGTGTGTGTGTGTGTGTGTGTGTGTGTGTGTGGTGTGTGAAGGATTTAATTGAGACTTTTAAGCTTTTCTTAAATTTTAATGTTTTTTAACTATGTAATTATTAAACATCTATTAATAGTCTTTTATTCGAGTTTATTTTTTAAGTGAAGTTTATTTTTTTTAAAAAAATGAACTTTACTGTATTCTACATAAAATATTATATAGAATAAAAATTCAATCTTCGATGTTTTTAAGAAAAGATTACTTCGTGCGATTTCACTTTCATTTGTATGTTTACAAAAAAAATCCCGCACAAATCTTATGGAAAATGACTTTCGGTCAAATCGTTCAAATTTTAATATTTTGTAATTCATGTCAAGCTGATTAAAATTCATGAGCACAAATCTCCAAATGCTTTAAGTTTTTGTTCTAGGAAAGATCTTTGAACTCATTACATCTTATACGAAAAAAATAGTTAAAATAAATCTTTTTTTATTAACATTAATTATGTATACAATTATAAATGTATATGTGTTACGGAAAAATATATCAGACATAATATCATGAAAAAAAATCATATCACATTTTTCAATGTTTCGAAAAATATTACTACAATATAAAATATTCTGAAAAAAAATTTTATTTTATTTTCTAATTCCAAAAAACATATTGGGGTTTCCAAAAATTGACAATATTTTATTTTGTATCTGATGTGTAATACGATCTGTAAACATTCAGTGCTACAACACTTAATGATGACAGACTCGAGCAAAAATAGACAATACATCTATATCGTTCATTTCAAATAATTCTGAGAGCAAACAAAAGACTAAAATCATAAATGTATACTTGCAAATGCACGATGATACATGCACAAATAAAATAAAAAAAATCTATTTCGATTTTTCTGTATTTTTTCATATAAAATATAAAGACGTTTCCAAGGTCCTGAAGCAAAAACTAAGATATTTGGAGGTTTGTGCTTGTAAAAATTTTTAATCAGCTTGACATGAGCTACAAAATACTAAAATTTGAAGCAATTTGAGCGAGAACTATTTTTTATAAGTATTTGTTCTTTCGGTTAATATCGGTAGTCTATTTTTGTCTATTTTTGTCTTATTTATTCCCGATGATATTTCAATTTTGACGAAAGTTAAATATTGTGTAATAATTACATCAGATTTTCATGTAATACGCATAAAGAAAAAAAGAAAATGAGGGTTAACCGTATTTTTATAACGCTCCCTCTTGCAGATGACATACGAAGCGAGATATAGAACGAGCGTATAATATCCGCCCGTATATATACGATCCTTTGAGAAAAAAAAGTTTCCCTTCGTTTTCTCGAGTTGAAAATGAAACGACTGGGAACATCCGACACCGAAATCAAAGAAACTTCACCGGGAAAACGGTAGCGCGATAATCCCGCGGGACTCTCCTTACAACTCCTTACAACCTGTTCGCATAAATAAGTCGACACCTGTTTCCTTTTCATTTCACTTTCTAAGACAATTTGTATGATAAATCGAGACGATCATTTAATTACGAAATAACATCCAATTCTTTATATTTTTTTTTATGGGGAAAAAAGGAAAAAAGTCTAATAGTAAACAGTTGTCGCATTTTTAACTTTTTTTATTTTTAAACAATTATGAGGATATTTTTTGTGCAATTATTTGTACAGTACATGCAAGATTCAAACAATTTATGACAAATGAATAAAAAAAGATGAAACATTATCCGCGATAAGATTAAGCGTATCTGCTTCTATTACCGAGAGAAACCAGATGCCAATGTGTAATAGTGAAATAATTAGTTCTAATTATTTAGTCGTAAATTAAATTTGTCAAACTACGAATTTATTAAGCGAAAAATTACAATGAAAAAAACAACGATATTAATTTCAAAATTTTTCATATAACAATAACTGCCGATTTGAATAATATACTTTTTCTCAGACTGGAACATTATCAAACTATCAGTTTTATAAAAAGAAATAATAAAATAAATATAAAACTTGATAATATCTTGCATAATATTTAATAATAAAAATTTCTAATTTCAATTTTAATTTTTTTCTGCTTAATATATTAATATATTAAATTTCATTTAACGTTAATCGTGAGGCGAGACTCAAACGTTTAACTAAAACGTTAAATATATAAATATAAAATATTAATTTTTGTCGCATAATTATTTGCTAAAAAGGATTATTGCTATTTTCCGTTATCTTTTTTCCAACATTCTTCTACAGTTGATATTCTTTCATTTTTTTCGGACTCTCATAGCACATATCGATGAAAGTGATTGGTCAAGTGGTCTGCTGCCAGTCCATCGACGAATGCCGTAGGAGCTTTTTAACAGAGCCGATAATAGTGGTTTACTGTCAAAGGGAAATGCCGTGAGGAGCACTTATAGGACGACTAATTTTTCTCTTTGATGCCATGCGACCGCGATCACTACGCCTTCGTGAACCACTTTTACCGGAAGATAGGCGCTTTCGAGAGGCGATGGATTATCTGCCAAGGCTGCTTTCGAACTCTAATCGCGAAGTCCTTTGGCATCAGAAGCTAAAAGCTACCATTTTCGTTATAATAATGAATATATATATATATATATATATATATATATATATATATATGTATATATATATATATATATATAAAATAATTATATATGCGTTTAGATATTAATCTGTTCTAATCACATAATTGATTTTGAGAGGCTTTTATACGATGCCTCAGGCGCAAAAACCAAGGGTGATCCACCCTTGAGTATCTGTTACTCAACTCGACGGGGCGCAGGAATACAGCGGTCGACGCCGGTCGCTTTTGCGGTGGTGGGACGCAATCCAGAACACCTTCTAATCGTCTCTAATCGCTTTTACCCTGCACTGTGGGAAACCGCAGAACACCCGGTATGACTTGAATGAACTCTAGACCTTTTTGGTTCGACCGATTGAAATCTTATTTTGGGCAATTGAATCAAACATTATTTGAACTCTTTTTGCAATAATTCTTGAAATTTTTTTGATATTTTGTTTGATAAACAATGTATTTTTGAATTTTATTTCTTAATTACACAAAATTTTAATGATCTTTAACTTAACGATTTTTAATTTAGAATATTCATATACTTTTTTAATAAAAATTATATTGTAATAAGAATATGTAACAGTATTGAAATTGTCAAGTATTTTATGTAAATAGAGAAAAAGAAAATTCAAGTAGTGATCAATACATCAATACTAATAAATTTGATTTGAAACAATATTTTAATTGTTCCACAGTTTGCAATTTTTTTTTATTTCTTTAATATTTATTTTTATAAAATACACATGTATAGTGCGGCAAAACACATATCGGAAGAGTAGAATATTGTTTAGAAGAAGGATACACAAAGGACGCGTGCCAGTCTCGTGGCCCACGGATTTCCGGGTCGTGCATTAAACGTCGACACATTCACTAATTATTATTTCCGTCATTAAGTAGGCCATTTCTTTCAGAAAAGAACGGCAAGATGTAAACAAGGAGGTAGACCATGGTGTTCTGCGCTGTATCGTTGCACAGTTAACGGAATTTATTTATTTTCCCATCGATGACATGTGGTTCCTCTTTTGGTCTACCTCTTTTTCTCTTTCTGCACGTCGCATCTCGCGTCGAATCATTGAAATTCTTTGTATTTTTGAGAAAAACAGGAAAGAAATTAATTAAACATGAATTAATTAAACATGAATTCATTTACAAATTATTTAAATATATTCTATATATAATCTAATGCTTCATCTCTTTAGAAGAAAACAATAAGTACTTTTGTTTAAAAAATAGAGGAAATAAATTCTGATGTCATTATTTTCTTAGCACTTACTTACAATATTTATATTGTATAATATCAAATGTTATTAAATTTGATAAATTTTAAAGTTTTGTAAAATCTATATTTGTCTTACGTAAAATTTCG